CCCCCCCGTTATGCGTGGTTGCCACGCACGGCCCCGTGAAATTTTCTGGCTGGAATTTGGGTAACTTGGGAATTGAGAAAGATGGGAACCTGGGATTTCGAGGGAATGTTTCTTGTCCAAGTTTAGCTTGGATAATTAACTTCCCGAAATTCGAGAACCAGTGTGTACAAGAGGTTTCTAGCTAGCGGAATTTCGAGTGACCTTATTGCAGCACGAAACACTGCAAAACACGTAATCGCACAGGGCCGCCCCGTGCGCGTCGCCAGTGATTCAAGATATCACTGGGTGCGTACTAAGGAAACGGCCTCATCTCAGCGCCGTCATCCCCAGACCACTTTTGTCGACTAGGAAAATTTTTTTCTCCAAGAAAAAATGTGACGAATTACATAAGGAAAAAATTATTTCCCAATGCGCTTTTCTTGTAATTGTTAAAAGTGCGTGCGATGACCAAATTTCCTAAAAATTTCGTTTTTAGGAAAAAAACTTGACGCTGCATCACCAGGGGAATTGTCACAAATCATTCAATTTCATTTTCGAGTTGATTTCTGAATTAGCAGATTTCTTTAGAGCTTTCATACATTAATTACACTGTCCCGACAGCTGCTTGCGGTATTTTCCAACTATGCTCTGCTGCAAGCTCTTTATTCAGTTGAATTTTTGTGCTTCCTTAGCAATTTTGATGTCTCTTGATTTAGGGAAGAAAGGCGAGGTCTGTTGAGCGCACCAGTGCATAAGCAGTTAATGAAGTTCTGTCAGGGCTGTACCTGCAGTAGCCACAGACTCAACATAGGCATGCTGTACAACAGTTTCACACCAGATGTTCATAGCGGTCCCGTACCAAAAATATGGAACCTGTTTGGCTTGCAAAATAAATCTGTATTTATCTTGCTTCTTTTGATAATATTTTGCTGATATTTTATATTTACTTCATTGCGGTTGATTCCAAAGTTAATTTAGCCACATTTTATTAGGTTTTCTGATTCTCTTCTGCTATTAATATATTTGCTCATTTTGTTGATACTGTGTAATATTGGCTACAGATTTGCAGTATTTAGTAGTTCGTTGTACTTGATAATGACTGCATCACATTTTTATATCTTAATCTTTAGGATAAATCCAGTGAAGAGCAAGCCGTGGGAATCGCTCATTGGTAGTGTAATCCCGCTGCTGGCACTGCTTACATCAACGGGAATCCTGTGTGGTTGTGGCCTTCGCTTCCAGTCCATCGTCGTCGCCTCCTACTTTCTTGTTCTTTCTGTGGGTGTCGATGACGTATTCATCATTTTGCGTGCCTGGGATCGCACAAATATGGGAGCGCCTATCCCGGAGCGCCTTTCTAAAACACTAGAAGATGCTGGGCCGTCTATCACAATTAGGTGTGCTTCTGAACTAATCATATGCATAAATACGGCTACTGAAAGCTGGTGTTGAAGATATTTCAGGAAGAATGCTAATGAGAAGTATTAAAGGTGATTT